CCCCCCCCCCCCTTTGTGCAAATGCAACCCTAGGACTTCAATGGACCTGCTAGCTCGGTTGAGCAAACGTAGACAATCCGTTTCCAAGGTTGCAGGACAACTTGATTCTAGAGCTCCCAAGTCCATCAGATCTTTTCTTCAACCACCTGGGGGTTTTGCCATTATGAGCTGATGCCTCTGTGACCTCACAGCACTATGGAAACCTACTTATGGTTCTCAGCTTCATGTATCCATGGGCTTTTTGCTGGATGGAAAGAGGGAAGGTAGCAAGAGACTACAGATCTTGCTACACCTGGAGGAGTACAAACACTGGGTGGTGAAACAGACGATGGACAGCGAAAGCTTTAAAAGCCCCACCTCATCTGAAGAGGATCTTAAGAGATTCAGTGCATCAACCTCGACATTATTAGTAAGTTGCTGCCTTTAATCCTTGAGTTCAACCCCAAAGCCCATCATGGCCTACAATTCAGAAAAAGATCGCATGGGGACGTTCTCCCCTTCTTCTTTTAAAGGACTCGCGAGAAGAGTCCTCCATTCCTCTACTCGTAGAAGAATACCTTATGCCACCAGACTTGAAATTTTAGGCTTAGACAACCTTGAACTACTCCGCCTTCGGTCTGACCTAAGCGTAGTACATAAAATTATCCATTGCAATGTCCTACCCATCAATGAATATTTCACCTTCAACCAGAACAATACAAGAGCACGCAATAGATACAAACTCAAGGTAAACCGCAGCAAACTCGATTGCAGGAAATACAACTTCGGCAAGAGTGGTCAATGCCTGGAACGTACTCTCTGACTCTATTGTTACATCCTCAACCCCCCCAAAACTTTAACGTTAAGACTGTCTACTGTTGACCTCACCCCGTTCCTAAGAGGTCTGTAAGGGGGCGTGTATAAGCGCACCAATGTGCCTACCGTCCTAATGTTCCTTTTTATTCGTATCCCTTTCATGTATCATGTTTATACTTATACCTGCTATCTAATACTGGCTTGACAAATAAATAATAAATAAATAAATAAATAAATCCCCATCAGAATAACAGAGTTGGAAGGGACCCTTGGAGGCCTTCTAGTCCAACCCTCTGCTCAGGCAGGAAACCCTAGACCTTTTGGACCTCAGGGACCACCAAACTCAGAATTTTAAATCCCGCGGACCACAAATATGAATTTTGACTGATGGTGGCTTGCTGACGTTGGTGGGAAAGTCGGTTCCCTATTCCAGAGCTGCAGGAGTCACAGGAAAACTGGCCCTTTGGTCATCCCGGAGCATCTGCTCCTCCACCTGGGTGCACCAGCCTGCCATGGACTGGAGGAGCTGCTCCGGGATGACCAAAGGGCCAGTTTTCCTGTTTTCCTGTGACTCCTGCAGCTCTGGAATATGGGACCGACTTTCCCACCAACATCAGCAAGCCACCCCGGGGCGGATTTCCCTCCCCTGCCATTGGTCTTACCTTTCAGTTCCAACTCACGTGGCTCTACTCAAGGTAAGGTTATCGCTCGGCCAAAGGGGGGGGGCAGTCGGTGGGTAGGCCATGTGAGTAGCTCAGCCTTGTGTTCCCAAGCAGCCTGGATTAATTGCTTTGGGGGAAGTGCTTTGGGGGTGGGGGAAAACATTTCTGTGTTGGACCACCAAAATTTTCTTGCAGACCACCAGTGGTCCCCGGCCCACCGGTTGGCGACCACCACCCTAGACCATTTTAGACAAATAGTTGCCCAATCACTTCTTAAAAACCTCCAATGCTGGAGTACCACAACTTCTGGAAGCCAGATCAGATCAGACTTTTATTCCAGAAAGCAAGGTGGTAACTACCAAAAGTTCTTCCCCAGTTAGCTCCATTTCCATGTTCTCCATTTCCACACCGATACTGTCTGTTTCCAACCCGAAACGACTCCTGCGCCTTACAATTGAATCCCATTATTTCTTGTTTTCGATTCCAGGAGCTGCAGACCTTCTGTGATTCTAATGAGATTTGCTTAAATGGCCCCTCTACCTGATTCCATCGATTTTGTCCCCTCAAGTTCCTCTCATCAGGTCACTTGTAACTAATTATGCATTCAATCTATGTTGACCCCTGGTAACTAAATCTCAAGTACAAAATAGCTCGCCGCTCAGGTTTTCCGATTGGGAAATTCATTGCTATAGAAAAGGCGAGGAAGGAAAAGCAAGATGCACATTGCCAGAATTGATGCTCGCACACAATGCAGCCATGGGAGAAGTGGTTTTCAGCCGGTTCTGATCAGTTCTGGAGAACCGGTAGCAGAAATTTTGAGTAGTTCAGAGAACCGGCAAATCCTACCTCTGACTGGAGATTTTACAGTATCCTTCCCCTGCTAGGCCCACCGAGCCATGCCCACACAACCGGTAGTAAAAAAAATTGAATCCCAATGGTAGTAAGTCTGAAAAATAGTCATAAGTGGCTTTTTTCAGTGTCTGTAAGCTCTGGAATTCATCACTGCCACAGAGTTGAAGAATTGGGAGGGGGTGATGTAATTGAATAGTTCTAAAAGGAAAAAAAAAAGTTTAGTTTGAAAGTTCAAGGTTATTGAGTGTGTCGCTCCGAGAAATTGAAGCTGCAGAGTAATTGGTTCACGGGATTAACGAGGTGTAGAAAAGTGGGTGGGTGTAGGTTGAATTTGGGGGGAAAGTCTGGGAATGATTTCAGTTCTGAAATTTTACAGACGGTGCCAGTTCCTGTTTTTTAATAAAGTACTTTGAGATTATGTCTGTCTCGGAGTTACTGTTTAAACTGGACAATTGCTGGAACCTTGACAGTGTCGTTGTAACAGTCACTAAATGAACTGTTATAAGTTGAGGACTATCTGTATATACATTCTTGAATACCAATAGTCTACTGTACCTTATGAAGATCTTGCATGGATTTCAGGCAATGTCCACAGATATTTCCCCTGCTCTTCCTCCCTTCCAAAAGATTCCTTCCTATGGCCTTTGTCTGCAGAATAAGATAACTTTGCCATAAACATTGTGTAGCATGTCCCAGAAGTGCTTTCTCTCAAAAGGCAAATGGACTTCTTGGTTTTTCCTTGAGGACGTTTCGCCCCTCATCCCAGAAACCTCTTCAGTTCCATACGATCAGAACGGAAGAGGCTCCTTGGATGAGAAGCTAAACATCTTCAAGGGAAAACCAAGAAGTCCGGTTGCCTTTTGAGGGGGGAAAAAAGCACCTTTGGGACAAGTGTGACTTGGATGACTGAGAATCTCCGTAGACATTGCGTAGCAAGCGGCCATTTTGAATTATCCACAATGCCCATCCCCCTCAAGACAGCATCACTCCAAGACATTGCAGGATGGTGTTGAGTTGTCAAGCAAAGTTGATCAGATAATTAGAGCTGCTGCTATTAAGGCATGAAGTTCTCCAGAAGGTATTTTGGTGTCTCCTCATAGCTAGAAGCTGGTTCGTTTGTTCTGAAAGAGCCTGCCTGGAGTTTTGTTTTGTTTTTAAGGCAGCCTGTTCTGTTATTCATAATTTGCAACTTCTGACTGACCTTAAAGGGAAAATAAGTCACTTAGAACCTAAGATGTATTGAGTATTTGCCAGCTGTGGGGAATTTCCATATAAAAGTCAGAAGATTTCATTGCAGCAGGTTGCAACTCGTGAGAACATCTCACTTTCAATATGCAAAGGGATGTTTCATGGGTGAGGAAGATCTGTTTGAAGATTCCTTTGATTTTAATGATCTAACGATGCCAGGGCTTTGGTATCTGTTTATTCAACCTCTAATTGAAAAGGAGAGGAGACCTCTGGAGAATATCCAAACTGTCTTCTCTTAAACTTCTCTTTGTGGATCATTTGATGGTTCTGTGACCTGCAATAAAGAATTCATATGTTTATTCACCAGCAAGATCCCTGCCTTGATACGAGCAATAACACAACATAAATATCAAAGGTTCCTCTCTGAAATAGCCACACTGACTCTGTTGGAAGGTTAAGACCTAAAGATTGGATCTAAACTAGTCATACATTTTAATTTTGGATTCATAGAACATAGAATAATACAGTAGAGGTGGAAGGGACTTTGGAGGTCTTCTAGTCCAATCCTTTGCTCAAGAAGGAGACCCCATTTCATTTCAGACAGATGGTTGTCCATTCTCTTCCTAAAAGCCTCCAGTGAGGGGTCACCCACAGTGTCATGCCCTGGTCAGAGTCTGAATCCAAGGAGGAAGATGAACAGCTGACAGGGAGTGAGAATATGGCTCCATTGGCTGTGGAGGAAACTTCCCCAAAGTCCAGCTGGGCAGAGCAGGGGAGAGGTAGAACAAGGGAGAGGGAGTTCAGAAGAAGACCCAGGCCCACCCCCTCTTCATCCTAGGGCACGCAGGGAGGAACGGAGAAGGGAGCAATGTAGGTTGCGTGGCTTATGGGGAGGAAAGGGCCCTGATTCCCTTCATTAGCCACACCTGGGAATGAGAGTTTAAAAGAGGTGCAAGCTGAGTGTGGCATGAACGTGAGTTTATCTTGTGTTGACTTTGGTTATCTGGGTTCCTGGCATCCTCCCAAGTGGGTTGAATTACTGCCATTCCTTCTGCCCTGCTGGACTAATTACTTCATCTTGCCTTGATTGGACTTATAGTTACAGTTTTTGTTGACCATGTTTTGGACTTGATTCTCTGCAGCCAAAGGCTGTTCCTGGGAGAGGTTTTTTCCAGCCCAGAAGGTAACCAGGACATCGGGGGCAAAGTTGGAGCTAATAAAGGGACTCCTACTGATTATCTGACTGTTGCCTTTGTGCCACGCCCCTTTGGGTCATCACACACAGCTTCTAAAGGCAAGCTATTCCATTGGTTGATTGCTCTAACCAATGGGAATTTTCTCCTTAGTTCTGGGTTGCTTCTCTCCTTGATTAGTTTTTATCCATTGTTTCTTGTCCTGCCTTTTGGTACTTTGGAAAATAGTTTGACCCCCCCTCATCTTTGTGGGAGTCCCTCAACTATTGGAACGCTGGAATCATGCCTCCCCTCCCTCATCCTTCTTTTCAACAAACTGAACTTCCACTTTATTTGATTTTTATTCAATTCAGAGAATCAAGAAACTTCCCATCGATGCTGCTGAATGGGAAAGCTATTTTGACGAGAGTGGGCAGATTCTCAAGTCACAAAACTATGTGGCTTCCCAAATTTTGGAGAAGGTGAGTGTCCTTGGAGAACGAAAAAGAACAAGGTGGTTGTGTGGGACCTCAAGAAGATAAAATGTCCGTCTTGATTCTCTTCTTACAATTGGCTCTATTTTTATCCAACCTCAGCTTTATCCCAGGTTGTTTTTCAAGAGTCAGTTCCCACAACCAGTCTGGCTGTTGTCCAGAAATGGGAAGTGTAGTTCTGGGAATGTAGTCCTGGAGAATATCAGATGTGGTCTGCTTAAATGGTTTGATTCCTAGTTTTCCATCTGAAGGAGCTAATTTAAGATGAAGTTTTTCCTGGGGTGGGAACTCTGATATGAAAGTCCCCTTTCTTGTGGATGTGTCCTATTTTTGTGCACAGGGAACAAAATGTTTGACTGACACAATGGGCAAGAATCAACTAGGAATCCAGCTGTCTCCCAACACCTAATTCATGCAAAACACAATAGTTCTCCTTCCCCAAACATCCTTCTGCTGTTCAAAGATGAGGTTGCCATGGAGATCAGATGCCTGGGCAACTTTAGAGGGGGGGAAAAAATCCATCCCTGGAGTTCTTTTAAATGGTGGTACAAGTAGATTTCTCCAGCCAATTTGAGGTCAGAAGAATTTGTTTTTCCACGGATAATCCCAGGGGCTGAGAAAGTCTATTGTGAATGCAGAATTTCAGGTAGGGACAATAGTGGTAACAGCTTAATTGTCCGCTTTTTAATTTGAAGGAGCAGGATCATTTTTAACTGTAAAAGTCACTTTTATGCATTGCCAAGGATAATTCATTTTCGTCCCATTTATCTTCTCTTTGCATCAGAGCCACCCACTGCCTAGACAGATGGGGAATAATACTGTACAAGACAATAGCCTGGGGAAATGATTGAAGGTCCGTACAGAAGTCTCCTTAATAGAAGGAAGTAAATAAAGGAAGAAGTTAAAATGTGGTTCACAGTCAAATTACCATTTTGAAAAAGCAGTGTGCCTAGACATGCCATTGAAGCTTTATTATTTTCCTAAACAGGAACACCTCTTTCTCGCCACTCTAAAAAAAAAAAAAAAAAACCAAAGCAAAATAAATGACTTGATACTGTAGAGGGAAAGAAAAAAGTCCATAGTGGGAAAATATTAAATTCTGAGAACTGCAATTGCAGTCTTATATACTTTGGTCTTCATTTGCAAGAGGTCCTTGATGGTCTCTGAGCTCAATTGCTTTCTTGCAGATGTTTGATGACCCAAACTAGGTAACATCATCAGGGCCAGTAGAAAGTGGGATTTGTGGAGAGGAGGAGGAGGAGGACTGTGGGCTCCTTGGGGTCCTCTGAGCTTGGTTGTTTTCTTGCAGACATTTCATGACCCAAACTAAGTAACACCATCAGTGCTAGAAAGAAGTGAGAGGAGGAGGAGGAGGAGGAGGAGGAGGAGGAGGAGGAGGAGGAGGAGGAGGAGGAGGAGGAGGAGGAGGAAATTTAGATAGCACCAAGGGCCTCACAGTCATCATCATCATCCTCCCCTCCCCCTCCTCTTCCTCCTCTCCACAAACCCCTTCTACCCTCTACACTGATGATGTTACCTATAGGTAATTTGGGTAATGAAATGTCTGCAAGAAAGCCACCAAGCTCAGACAGCACCAAGGACCCCCTCATTCCAATCCTGAGCTGCAAATATTCTCCTTTACTGGTCTTCATTTAACCAAACTGTTTCAGGGGCCCATCTCTAGGATCTATGGATGACTGGGATCCATCATTTCCAAGACCTAAAGATGGCCACAAATCTGGATCTGAAGTGGGGAAAAAAAGGCGCTTCACTTCCAGGTCGAGCTCCCTCGTTGGTCAGCTTTTCCTTAAAGAGTCTCACCTTGGAATCAGGTTCCTCTTTCCAACTAACTCCAAGAGACGTCAACGAGAAGACTTCCCTTTTGATGGGAAGGAGGGAGAGGAAGGGAGAAAGCCAGGGGTAACTTGGCTGGCTGGGAAATTCTGGGAGTTGAAGTCCATAAGTCTTAAAGTTGCCACATTTGGAGACTACTCCTCTAGGTTATCATAATCCAGATAAATGTATAACACCCCAAGTTTCTTTCAACCCTAGGGTCATTTTGTTTTATTTTAAAAGAAAACATAAAACGGGCAAGTTCTTCCACACCCATGTCCTGTTGTCTCTATTATGGAACCCCTACAGCGAGTGCCCTTGGCACGAAGAAGATGCTCTATTTGCCAGTCTTTAAGCTGGCTGCTTTTTTTTTCCCTGGCAAACTGGCTTGATTGCTTCCTGAAGATTAATTATGCTTTGACACTTAGGATTCCATTTTGGGAAAAAGAATGACGTTAGCTAGGGCTGCTCTCTTCTTCCAAGCATCCTTTGAAGAAGAAGATATCAAGCCAGAAGATATTTTTGTCAGGCTGGTTATGAGCAAATCGTCACCTTCCTAAACCTGGGCCTTCTCCAGGCTTGTCAAAATTCCCAGAATCTTGAGGATAATTCCCAAAATTCTAAGTCTGCATGGACAAAAGTTGGAATTCTAGGAAATGTAGCCCCCGCACCTCTGGAAGGAAACAAGTCAGAGAAACTGAGCATAGATCCCTCAAAAGAAGAGAGAGTCAGAAAAAAAAAATTGAATGTTGTTTTTGTTGTAGGGGTTGGATCTTTCTGTGAGATCAGAAGCTTGGAAATTCCTCACCGGCTACTATCCCTGGAAGAGTTCCTATGATGAGAGGCTCACAACTGACAGCGTGAGACGGTGTGTAAATTAAGTCCTGATGTGGGTAGTATTCGTTTTAGGCAGCTCAGCCACTTCCGGATCCATTAAGAGGACTTGCACAGAATTCTCAGCTAGCACAGGGATCCACCATCATCATCATTTAATGACCCCCATAATCCCTTGCAGGATGGAATCTGGGCAACTGAATGGAGCTAGCAGAATGTTTTACTGGCCAAACGCCCTTCCTGTCACCAATGAAGAGTTTTGTTCAGCAGATAAATTCTCGTTGTGCAGCCTTGGAGAGGGCGGAGCTGGCGTCGCGACGATACGGCATGTGATCTCGGAGGTCTGAGACCGCAGCCGATATCTTTGCCCCTGGACGGTCCAATCGGTTATTCAGTCTTGTCATCTCTGGCTCCCTTCCCCTTTGTAGGAAAAGCTATGAATCCCTGTGCAACATGTACACCAAGATCGAACCACTGCTGGAAACAGAGCATCGAGACTTCACAGAAGTCCAGAATTTTATACGTAAGTATCCAAAAAAAAGTATCCAAAAAAAAAGGCTTAGGAGAAGGAAAGGGTGGATGGGGAGAACTTGCTCCACTCGCCCGCCATGCCTGGCCTGGCCACCGGGCTGCTTCTTTCCACTTCTTTCTTCTTCTGCTTTTGGCTGCACGCAAGGAAAGCAGCAGAAGTCTCTTTCTCTCCCCCAAACTCTGCCAGAAATGAGTCTTTGGGACCCTGCAAGGCCTCCTGCACCAGTGCGACAAGTCTCACAAAGACTCATTTCTGGTGGAGTTTGGAGGAGAGAAAGAAAGACTTCTGCTGCTTCTGCTGCTTTCCTTGCATGAAGCCAAAAGTCTCTCTCTCTCTCTCTCTCTCTCTCTCTCTCTCTCTCTCTCTCCCCACCCTGAGAACGGAGCTGGAGATGGTATCCTGCAATCCCAAATAAAGAATGATTGATTGGTAGGAAAATTGGGTGGGGAATTTTCCTGCAGACTTTTTGGGGGATTTTTCCAGGATCTCTGGTCCGCGGGATTTAAAATTATGAGTTTGGTGGTCCCTGAGGTCCAAAAGATTGGCGACCCCTATTCTACACACTTGTAGGAAAATGGCCTTTCTCCTTGCTCTAAGGTTCCAGTTAAATGACTAAAAAAAAAAAAAAACCAAAGGGGGAAAGGGGAAATATTTTTGCTGGCCCACCCACTACCCATTCTGCAATATAAATCATATATTCTCTTTTCCAGCCATTCTTTAAAACTGATGCCCATGTGCTGCTGTTTTTTTGCCGATACTTGCTACGTACTGACTCCTAACTTGAAAGTTGTGTTGTTCTAGAAGGAGATCAATAATCCCCAAAGAGAGACAGATTTCAAAAGACAAGAAGAAGAAAAGGAAGGAAGAAAAAGAGAGGGGGGTGAGATGCGGGGGAGAGGGAGAAAGAATATATATAAGATGTAACTTTGAAAGAGCCAAATGGAAAAACACCTAAGAATCCATCTTCTCACATTGGACAGGAAACCCATGATGGATTATTATAATTTTATTCAGATCTCCTTTTCTGTCTTTTCCCAGCTGTCTAACAAAAAGAATATTAAACGATACAGCAAAATTAAGGCTACAGATCAATGAAACGGACATAAATCAACGCAAGGCAGGCTCAAGAAAGATTTACAACCTAGATGGGATGCAGGCCAAGCCCTTCAGATATAATAGATATTCTCCCTCACTAGAAAATTCTTTAAACAGGTCACATGCTGGGGAAATGTTCCCCTTTATTGCCTCTTTCTCTTCCCCAGAATTGGAATCGAAAGAGATCATTTCCCTACTTTTATGGGGAGTGGGGGGAGGAAAAGTAGCAAGTTAGATTGTACCACTTTCCAGCCTTACACATTTCCGACCCACTTGGGAATTTAGTGTCTCTCAACATCTCCACTCGGAGGTTGAAATATTTGGCTTTGTTTTAAATTGCCTTGCTGTTTGGGTTCTTTTATTATTATTTTACTTCCTCATAACGATCAATTTCAGCCTTCAGTGAGGGACTGTTTAACTTTGAGAGCGGTTCCTAAATTAAGAGGTGCCAATGAGCTCTTCAGCAGCTCTACCAGGAGCAATAGGGAGGCTTAATTCAAGGAGCACCACCGTAGAATGAATAACTTGTTGCTCTTAACTTGTGAGTAGGGATCTCTTCCTGGTTTCTCTTGGCTGGATTTTTGAGCTTCTGTTGTTATTGTTGTCCCTTCCTTTCTTCCTTCCTTCCTTTCCTCTGCCCCCATTCTTTCTTTTTCTTTCTTTCTTTCTTTTTTCCTTCCTTCCTTTCCTCCATCCCTAGTTCTCTCTTTTTCTTTCCTTCTTTCCTTCCTTTCCTCTGTCCCTCATTCTTTCTTTTTCTTTCTTAACTTTCTTCCTTTCCTCTGTCCCTTGTTCTTTCTTTTTCTTTCCTTCCTTCCTTTCCTCCATCCCTCATTCTTTCTTTTTCTTTCTTACCTTTCTTCCTTTACTCTGCCCCTCATTCTTTTTCTTTCCTTCCTTTCTTCTTCCTCCCTCCCTCCCTCCCTTCTCCTTCCTTTCCTCTGTCCCTCATTATTTATTTATTTCCTTCCTTCCTTTCTTCTTCCTCCCTCCCTTCTCCTTCCTTCATTCCTTCCTCTGTCCCACCCCCTCTCTCTTTCCTTTGTCTTTCTTCTTCTTTCTTTCCTTCTCCTTCCTTCATTCCTTCCTCTGTCCCACCCCCTCTCTCTTTCCTTCTTCTTTCTTCTTCTTTCTTTCCTTCTTTCTTTCATCCTCCCTTCCTCCCCCTCCCTCTTTCCTTTTTTCTTTTCCCTCTTTCTTTCTTTCCTTCCTTCCTTCCTCCTCCCCTCCCTCCCACCCTCCTCCCTTCCTCCCTTCTTCCTTTCTTTCTTTTGCTATATCCCACCCTTATTGTATCTCAAAGTGGTGAATATATCCAACACACCTTCCTCCTCCAATTTTCCCCACAACAACAACCCTGTGAGGTGGGCTGGGCTGAGGGGGAGTGACTGTCCCAAGGTTACCCAGTCAGCTTTCATGTCTAAGGCAGGACTAGAACTCACCATCTCCTGGTAATTGGCCCATAGTCGCTCAGCTGCCTTCCATGCCTAAGGCAGGACTAGAATTCAGCATCTTCTGGTGATTGGCCCAGAGTTACCCAGCTGGCTTCCATGCCCAAAGTAGGAGTAGAAGTCACGGTCTCCCACTTTCTGCCCTGGTGCCTTCACCACTAGACCAAACCGGTCCTAAAGGTACCACTGCTTACCTGGTTGATTTGGGCAATCCATCTTTCCAGCATCCTGAAGTCTCATCTGAAGCTTCCCCAGATGAAGAAGACCTTAAGAGAAAATATTTTCTGTTTTTTTTTCTCTCTCTCTCTTGAGATTTTGGGGTTAAACAGCAAAGGAAAAATGGGACAATCACGAGAAATTGGAAAGAAATTTCCACGCATTCTGAGCATAAGGTCAAAAAATGGAAGCAGCTTTCACAGCAGAGGAGGAGGAGGAGGAGGAGGAGGAGGAGGAGGAGGAGGAGGAGGAGGAAAGAAGGAAGGAGGAGGAGGAGGAGGAAGAAGAAGAAGAAGGAAGAGGAAGAAGGAGGAGGAGGAAGGAAGAAGGAAGGAAGGAGGAGGACGAGGAAGAAGAAGAAGAAGAAGAAGAAGAAGAAGAAGAAGAAGAAGA